CTGTTGAAATGACCATTAAATGATTTACATCCCTTTTACTAAACATGTTAACACTTAAAGTGAGCTAATATCAAAGTTTGATTATTGCAATGAGTAGCTAATTTTGTTATGTCACTCGAAGCAGTGGCGGATCCAGAAATTTCCATTAGGGGGGCCCACTGACTGCCTAAGAGGGGTCCCGCTCCAGTCATGCTTCAGTGGTTCCCTATATAATCAACAAAATTTTTCCCACAAAAGGGGGGGGGGGGGCCCGGGCCCCCTGAAAAACCCTCTAAATCCGCCTCTGCTCGGAAGGTATGAATATGTTTTAAATTGGTCAGACAATACTTGGTCATGTTTTATGAACATTTAAAACCCTCGGCTACGCCTCGGGCTTTAAATATTCATAAAACATGAACAAGTAATATCTAAAATGGATTTTGTCTTGTTATTAGATATATATAGGCATATATTTTGGATTTAAAAAAAAAATGGTCATGCTTAAAGGTTTTTATATGTCTCTGATAGTGTTGATCAGGATTTAACACGTGTCACAATATGATCCAATCGCAGCTTACCGTCCAAAATTGGTGACATAAGTTGAATGATTTTCTTCAAGATTTGCTGCCTATTTGAACATGTATTACACGGACACTTTTTATTTATAGGATCAATCGTGCATTGGTGAGCTGATAGGGATTTTATCTTTTGATTAGATTTGATTTTTTAATATATATTTCCTGTCTTTTTTTTATTGAAATATAAACGTCGGTACCAGCATTTCTTTACTTTCAGCATTGTCCAAAATACTATTCATGTTCATGTATTGAAAAAAAAAATACATTTACGAACCGGCCATTTAGCTTCAAAAGGGGGTTATGTTTTTTTTCTGAGTAAGAAAATAATTTAGTTTTTCAATGCTATCACCCAAACTTTTTATTTGAAATTAGCACTATTATATACGGTATGCCTAAATCGGAAAATCTGGAATCAAAACATTATTTTGTCATTTGCTTGACCACAATATATTTTTTCTCATAAAATTGGGGATCAGAATATTTTTTAGGAACCCCCCCACCCCCCCGCCTTTTGAAGTTAAATGGTCAATCCCTTAGTGTACTAATATGAAAAGTAATAAACTGGAATTGTTTGAAAAAAATATAGTTATTGATGCAAACGTAAATATTTTAATAAAAAAGACAGGAAATATGTCGGTGAAACAAAAAGTTCAAATCTAATTGAAATTTAAAGTGCCCATGAACTCACTGATCATGCAGGAGTGATTCTATTCATAAAAAGTGTCCGTGTAACAACTAAAAAGTGTCCGTGTATCATCTAAAAAGTGTCCGTGTAACACCCGTTAATGTACTGTTTCTCTATAGCTCTGCTGGGGTTAAAGTCGTACAAATTGAGTTTTCCTTTGTTCACCTTGGGCATAATTTACCTGAACACTGGTCAGAGAAAGACGTCCTTTTATAAGTCCAAATTGAATATTTAGAAACCCATAAATCGTTCATACTTTATTCGGCTTTATACTTATTGGACACGACTACTTTGCTGACAACGTAAGTTTCACCTTCTTCTTTATTAGCATTTTGGCACGAATTAATAGATTGTTTAACTTTCCTATTTTCGAGTATTTATATACTCTTCAGAGTGCATGTTTATAACACCGGAATGACATATTTGAATGAAAGTATTTTTGTATTGAAGCTAGGTCATATTTTCATGAAGTAATGTAATATTTGCCACTGTACATAGCATTATGATGTACTGTTTACGTATAATTTTACGAATACTTCATGTCGAAAATAAAAAAAATAAATATATATTTAAGACCAAAATATCAATCAGTACACATCCAACTTCCAAAGGACTATGTGTGAAGACTTCATTAACAGTCAGAGAGAATGCTTGCCAATGAGACTATATCTTCAGAGACCAAATACCGTGGATGTTAGCAACTATCATAGGTAACTGTACGGCCTTCAAAAAGGAACAAAAGTCATACCGTATACATTTAGCTATAAAAGGCTCAACATGACAAAATGTAAAATAATTCAAACAAGAAAAACAAAGACATGATTTATGATAAAAAAAAGATTAAACGAAAAACATGTATGACAGACATCAAACCAATGATAACCACTGAGTTACAGGTTCTAGATTTGGGACATAGTCAGGCACATTAAGAATGTTGGCGGGGTTAAATATTTTTGTCAGCGCTCTTTAATTCTCCCTCGCCTGCTCGTCAGAATTTAAAGCATTTCTTTACTAAATTCCTTCGTATAAATAAGACAAAACTCTAATATAGGTTTTGGTTGCTTGCAGTAACTTGTTCTTTTCTCTTGCAAATAATGTTTAATAATATAATAATCTGATATAATTTAATAACAATCTTCAAATTAACATTTGCATACAACAAAACTATCCAACACATCATTATATGTAAATGAACTTAAAGTCTATATGATCCATATTCATAAATATGACAATAAACGGTAAACTGTACGTTGTAGTTACTGTGAGCACCTTCGATGAACTGACAGCTGAACAATTTCTTTATATAATATAACGGAACCCCACCCATTAAACTGCCAAAGGATTTCACGTGCATATGTTCTGGACCATATGAGTATTTGGACCATACGCGTATGGCATGACCATCTGCGTATATACTCATATGGTCCGACCATACACGATTAACGTTGAAAAGGTGTCACAAAAATTAATAGTTTCTAAGACTTATTCAATCATATGGTAGTCATTTTTACATAATTATCATTATCGATTTGTCCTGACGAAACGCAATATGTCGACTTTGGAAAATTATTAAATGAACTGTTAAACAATAAATAAATTACTTAACTCACAGGCACTTTTTTAAAATTTCTTTTAGTGTTTAAATTTGTTATTATTAAATTTTAATTTCTTAAAAAAATTCTTATTGTTTTTAGTAAATTTGTTCAATTGTTCTTGCTCCTATTCATACGATCTTACAATGACAGTAAGATCGTATGAATTTGAGCAAGAACACATCAATTTAATGAAAATAAGTAGAAATAAGAAGAAATTTTGTTTCTGAAATAATAATTTTAAACACTAAGAAAACAGAAAAAAGATCCATGCCCCAAACGCATGTGGTTTCACTTACGGACGAATATCGGCAGTATAAAAGCGATTTGAATTGACTCTTAGCGGATACACCAAGATTTAGACAATATGTAAAAGATCAAAGAATTCAGATAGTAACTTGTGCCGATTTATGTTCAAAGAATGAGCTGTATGTTCCTGCAAAGAAAGATAGAATTATTTGAAAAATACCTATATGGTCTAAATACTTGTATGGTCCGGCCCGTTAATAACCAAACGAGTATAATACTCATATCATATGGTCATGACCATACGCGTATGGTCCATGTACTCATATGGTCCCGAACACATATATAACCATTATATCTAAATCAAAAATAACAATAATCCGTTTTACAACTTCTCTAAACAGTTTGAATATATATAAATGAATCATGTTGTCCCAGACTAAAATATCAATCAGTACACACCCAACAGATTTAGCCGTCTGAGAAAAACACAACCTTTATAAATATCGACAGGATGTAGGACAGTAAACGTACATAACTGTAAAGCATTACATATTTAGTTCTGTTTGAATTTATTAATAACAAAACCATGGTAGTACCGACACTCTTTAAAAAGCTTGCTTAAGTGTTTAATTGATAACCTTGTAGAATATGTTAATTCAGAGAATCAATAAGTTTACATAGATATAAGAAGATGTGGTATGAGTGCCAATGAGACAACTCTCCATCCAAGTTACAATTTTTAAAAGTAAACCATTATAGGTCAAGGTACGGCCTTCAACACGGAGCATTGGCTCACACCGAACAGCAAGCTATAAAGGGCCCCAAAAAATTATTAGTGTAAAACCATTCAAACGGAAAAACCAACGGTCTAATCTATATAAAAACGAGAAACGAGAAACACGTATGAACTACATAAACAGATAACAACTACTGTAATCAGATTCCTGACTTAGGACAGGTGCAAACATTTGCAGCGGGATTAAACGTTTTAATGGTACCAAATCTTCTCCCTTTTCTGAAACAATAGTATAACATCACAACATAGAAAAACACACTATAAAATATCAATTGGAAGGCTTAACTCAATCAAAAAACGTAAATTAACACACAATGAACGAATAAATTTGACCTGTGACACCTGAATGCAAATACACAGTTAATAAAAAATTACAAGGGATAAATAATTAAAGTCAAAAGTAAATAAACAGGTTTAAACAAAGTTAAAGTATGATATCACTGTGAAATTTCAAACAATTTATAGAAAATCATCACTTTTGAAGAAACCTGCGTCATATTATACACAGGTAAATGAAAATAATTTTGTTGTTAAGTATACTTCTTCTTCTGTGTGTATAAAATCTTCCGTTTAGGAATACCAAGAAATTTCTTTAATATCAATAAAACTAATCTAACACTTGGTACATATGGGGTGAATATCAAGAATAAAAATATACAATTAGTGCTAGATAAAACTTCCTGTACAGGTCCAAGAACAGCATCTAAGGAAAAATGAAATAATTTTGATGTTCATAGTACGAAGAAGTGAAAATTTGTAGTAATTAAATACCAAATAATCAAAGCTGGTATATAGACAAGATCCATATTAACATTAGATAACAAAAAAACATTACAAATAGTATCAACAGGTCAAATTAAAAGAAAGTACGATTTGAGAGTACTCGCAGTTACTGACAGCTAGTTAAAAGCCAAAACAATTAATAATAAAAAATCATGCATCAGAGACTAAATGCATGGATCTTATCTAAACATTGTTACACTTATTATGGTTTTTAGCATATGTCCTGTCGTACATTTGTTAGACTAAGTTTATCATTCTTAATTCCCAATACACATGCATTGTCCAGTCGTTGTTTAACAGAAACAATACAATTTGAAAGAGTAAATCTATAATTTCAGATAATCTTTTCTCGAATGAAGAACTTTTTTAAGAACAAATGAAGGTAAGTAGATTTTATTACCTCGCAACTGTATTGTTCAAGCCACATACATAGCGTGATCGACTTGGAAGCATATTAATCAGCACTAAGCAGTGCTTGGGGCCATTTCGAACTTGCCGTGGTATGAGCTTTTTTCCGGTATTTTAGGCTCAACAGTTTAAACATATTTTATTATCTAGATAACAAATAGATCAGACACAATGATTCAATGAACAATAATAATAACTATAAAAGCATTGTCTATTACATGTACGGATTTTGTGTCTTAAATCAATACACAAAACACTTTCCCTTCCACTCAAGAAAACAACCTTCGAAGTAGCGGGGTATATATTTTTATTCGTCCGTCCGTCCGCCAGTCAGTCCGTTATTAATCTTGGTTGTCGTATGCCTAATCAAAATGTGATACTGTATATCTGATTGCAACCTTACTTGGGAATATGGTCACATATAATGAGTCGAAAATCTCTATTGATTTTGAGGTAATTAGGTCTAAATTCACGGTCAAAGTTACAAGGACCGAAATTGTGCCGGAAAGTGGTTTTCAGGAGCTTCAGTTAAATTATACTTTATATGGGATTGTATGAGTAGCCATTCGTGTCATTGACGGTAATACTCATACCGTATAAAACTGTTAATGTGTTGGAAATATTGACTTTTAACGAAATCATACGGAATGAAAACTCAACTCATTAGTAATGCAAACTATACTGTTAATTGTTACTTTGAACGGTTTAGTTTCTCATTTTATAGCGTAAGTTCTGTTCTTGTGTCAACCAATCAAAATCGTTCACACAACGATGGTTTGATATCCAATGCTTCCAAGTGATATGATTAGCATACACGAGACAGACAACGGTTTTCACAGCTCATCCAAGAGACTATCTACTCTTGTGTAAGAATAGGAGAATCAGATTCTTTAGAAACAGGACCTTATAACAGCATTTGCTAAAGGTATTATTCCAATCTCTTAGAACTTTTTGAATCTCGCGGGGGAGAGGGAGGGACACTTAACATGCAAAAGAGATGGGGATGAGCTGCAGGAATATGTCACTTTTTTCAGTTTCATGATATATGATCAGGTCAATAAATTAAAATGATGTATATGACAAGTTTGCTGATTAAATCGTAAGTATCTGAAACTAACCAGATGTAGTTTTTGTCGAGCCTGCGACTTTTGTCGCAGAAAGCTCGACATAGGGATAGTGATCCGGCGGCGGCGGCGGCGTTAACTAACTTCTTAAAAGCTTAATATTTCAAAAGGTAGAAGACCTGGATCCTTCATACTTTGTATATAAATGCCTTATGATATGAAGTTTCCGTCTGTCATATGTCCATTGTCCTTGACCTCATTTTCATGGTTCAGTGACTACTTGAAAAAAAAGTTAAGATTTTTCGTAATGTTAATTTCTCTCTTATCATAAGTAATAGGATAACTATATTTGGTATGTGCGTACCTTGCAAGGTCCTCATGCCTGTCAGACAGTTTTCACTTGATCTCGACCTCATTTCATGGATCAGTGAACAAGGTTAAGTTTTCGTGGTCAAGTCCATATCTCAGATACTATAAGGTCTAATATATTTGGTGTATGTAATGATTGTAAGGTGTACATGTCCAACTGGCAGGTGTCATCATCTGACCTTGACCTCATTTTCATGGTTCAGTGGTAATAGTTAAGTTTTTGTGTTTTGGTCTGTTTTTCTAATACTGTATGCAATAGGTCAACTATATTTGGTGTATAGAAATATTTTATGATGTACATGTCAGTCTGGCAGGTTTTATTTGACTTTGACCTCATTTTCAAGGTTCATTGCTCATATTAAGTTTTTGTGTTTTGGTCTGTTTTTCTAATACTGTATGCAGTAGGTCAATTATATTTGGTGTATGGAAATTTTTTACGATGTATATGTCGGTCTGGTAGGTTTTATTTGACCATGACCTGATTTTCATGGTTTATTGCTTATGTTAAGTTTTTGTGTTTTGGTCTGTTTTTCTTAAACTTTAAGCAATAGGTCAACTATATTTGGTGTATGGAATGATTGTAAGGTGTATATGTCAGTCTGGCAGGTAGCATCTGACCTTCACCTCATTTTCATGGTTGATTAGTCAATGTTCAGTTTTCCTGGTTAACTTTGTTTCTTAGATACTATAAGCAATAGGTCAACTATATTTGATGCATGGAATGATTTTAAGATGTACCGGGGGTACATGTCTGTCTGGCAGGGTTCATCTGACATTGACTTCATTTTCATGGTTCATTGGTCAATATAGAATTTCCATGGTTTGATCTGTTTCTTTTATACTATAAGCAATAGGTCATCTAGATCTTGTGTATGGAATGATTGTATTGAAGGTGTACATGTATTTCAGGCTTGGTTTATCTGACCTTGACCTCATTTTCTAGGATCATAAGTGTTAATGTGATACTTGTAGTAAAACTTTATATGTAGGACTATCAACATAAAATCAATGATGAGTATAGTAGGCGAGACATTTCAGCGTGTGCACTCTTGTTTTTTCACGGATGCATGCAATTAAAAGTACTGTTGCAAATGCATCAGATATTTATCAAATATATTTATTCTCCACGAAATAGCGTAATCATGATAGCCATAGAAGGATATTGTTTGTCAAGAAATATATTATGATAGGGTATGTTTCTTTGTTATTAAACATATATAAAATGGGGATGAACTTCGGTGATCACCCCTACAAAAAAAAAGATCGAAGTGCTACCCCCTCCCCGAGGTTTGAATGGCCATTCATGTCATTTGCGCGATGTATAATCGCGTATATTTAATATATGCGTTATTTCTTTAAATACATGTTCGCATAGTGAACTTTATGATTGCTCTTCGTCTACCAGTCCGTCCGTCCGTCTGTGTGTATGTCCATCTGTCAAATTATGTTAGCAACTCTGTCTCAAAGATGGTTTGAAATGTATCTCTCAGATTTTACAGATATTTAGTTTCCAGTGAAGGAGTGATACATGTCAATTTTTTTAATGCAAGTTATTGGAATGGCGGCAATTGTTAAGATTTTTTTACGACTCTTTTATACGTTCAGTTTGGTTAGAAGTTACTCTGATATTTTGTAGTTAAGTACACAAACATGGGTTGATGAAGAACAGTTTTTTTTCTCCCCCGAAAGTCAAAAATGTTGAAATGGCCTGCCATTTTAATCTTGTTAATAAGAATATGGTTCCATTAATATTATATATAATTGAGATATAATAGCTCGCATAGTTTTAAGATAGGTAGTGACTAAAATGATACAGTCATACATACAGGCATGACATCACTTTACGGATTGACGCTATAACGTTTGGTTTGACACATTAGGGGGGGGGGGGGGTTAATTTTTTCACCGAGTGTGTTAATCACCCTAACACCTTCATCCAAGGGCAGTATTTTTTTTTATTATACGGAATGCCTTATAATTCAAGTGTGCACTATGTTATAAGAAGGACAATTGTAAAAAAAATAGATTCATTAATTCAGAAGTTAACTGATAACAACAACAAAACGACGGAAATGATGTAAAAATAAGAATCGGTAAACCTCGACCGGAGCGGACGTTAATTGTTCCGGATCGGCAAACTTCGGGCTCAGCGGGTGTTAATTCTAGGCATTAGCACCCGTTGCTAATATTATCACATGTTGCTATGGGTGGGCGGGGCTTATGAATTGTTAGTGAAAATTCACAAATGCCGCGTGTCCAATTAAAGAATGGATAATATAAGAAATTTGCATAAAGTATAATAATAATGTTTAACACTAGGTTAAAATTTAACCAAGAGATGATCAACCTGGCCCAGAGCGCCACGGGTTTGAATCTGCCTAAAGCACTTCTGTATTAGTTCTATGAAAATAAAATGTAACGGGGGACATAGAAATACCGGGCGTCCGTCCGACTGTCCGTCTGTGTGTCTGTCCGTCCGGTCTTGTAAGCGCTCTCACGTGTACAATTCTTGCCAGATTTTTGTGAAACTTATATCATAGGTTTATATCTGCAATTTCTTGTACAAGTACGAAAAGCAGTGCCGATCAATTATTTTAAAAGAGTTATTCCCCTTTGAAATATTCATTATATGGAAAATTGCATTGTAAGCGCTCTCATGTGTATAATTCTTGCCAGATTTTTATGAAACTTATATAATAGGTTTATATTAGCAAAGTCTCGGACAAGTTCATAAAATCAGTACCGATCAACATTTTTAAAAGAGTTAAGCCTCTTGGAAATTTTAAGTATATTGGAAAGTGCATTGTATTTGCTCTCAATCATTCATTTCTCTAAGATATTAATAAAAAATTTAAAGAACAAACGTTTTTTTAGGGATTGCCCTTGGATAGATAAAATATGTGCAACGCGGGGGACAATGGAACTCTATTCTTTATTTCCAATTATTTCATTCCTAGCAAAAATCCTTTCTAGAAAACATTCAGAAGGAAATGGGCAGGACTTCTTTAACAGCTACATGCGATGAAACCCTTGTTATGAGATAGATTTGGAAATTTTCAGTTGCAAGTTTTTATGTGAATGCCGCAAATACTACAGTACTTCTAATTTTATCAACAACTACCACTTCTTGTTCTTGAATTTTAGACGTTTGAGGTAAAAAAAACGAAAACAGACGTGAAGAACGAAAACAGCATAAATTGAGAAAACAGACGTAAAAATAAAAAAAAAAAACAGACATAAAAAACAATAACAGACATAAAATTCAAAAACAGACGTTAAAATCAAAAACAGACACCAAAAACGTACACAGACATAAAATTAAGAATTCAAAACAACTCGGTCCAAAGACAAGTCGGACCAAGACAACTCGGACCAATCTTAAGACAACTCGCACCAATCTTGAAGACAACTCGGACCACGTATGAAGGCAACACAGAAATTTTTGAAAGAGGATCGCAATGGAGGTACTTTCACGACGAATAACGTTAAACATCCACTGTTTTGACGTTTACCTATATAAACTGGAGTGTGACGATAGAGA